CTGCGGCACACGCCGGGACCAGGACCAGGGCCAGGACTGGCTCCAGTTGGAGGCTCTGCCATGGCCAAGGCTGAACGGCCCCAGGTCACAGCCCCGCGAGCTGTTGCTGTCAGAGATCCTCGAAGAGCCACGCGCAGCCAGGCAGCGTCCCGGTCCCACGTGTGGTTTGCCTGCTCTATCACAGCCTGGAGTAGGGGTCAGGATACCCAAATGTTCACCCAATCCCTCTTAGTAGCTTTTGCAGTAAGTGTGAGCCAATGCCAACATCTCCCCATACCTCAGTCTCCTCAGACAAAGCCCAGGGCACTGACCTTGTTTGCAAAGGCAGGACTAAACTCGAGCACTACCGTTATGGGAAAGGGGTCACCAATCTACCAAGTCATCCCACTTTCCTCTCTGCAGCTATCACTGAAGTGTCACATCCAGGAGCAGTGACAGGGGCTCAGAAGATACCTGTCCAAGCCCCAGCCATGGCCTGGGCTCCCATCTGGAGATACATCCACTGGGGTGAACCCCACTGCTCGTCCCGTTGCACGTGTACCCGGAGGCAATGTCTGGGTGCTAACATCGGTATGGGACACGCGGAGCTGGCGTACGCTCCGTGCATTATAATACAGTGTCTGCTGTGCTAACAGAGCAGAGCACGGGAATTTATTGTCAGGTCAAATCCTCATCATCTGCATAAATTCCACTTGAATATTATCACAGGGACGGGAGAAGAAAAGACAGGCTGAACAGAGGAGCACCCCCGGTGTCTGGTCGCTGTCGGGAGCTCGGCAGCCACCGTGCACATCATTTTCCTCCACTTTGCTGGCCCCAGCCTAACGGGGCTCTCTGTCTCGCACGTAGCCAGCAGCTGAAATACCATGCTCTTGTCAGAAAGCTTTATTATTATGGTAAAGATTGTACTCATTAGATATTAATTATACCCAGCATGAGCCAGTCCAGGAATCTATTTGTCTCTGCTCACCAATTAAACTTGCCCAGCTTTTCAAAGGCCTTACGTTTGCACAGCCCTCTCAGAGCCTACTCTGATTTATGAGCATCTAGGACTCTGCAAGGGAGCAGAGAGCTGGTGAGACCAGGAATGCGCACAGAGGGTGCATCTGAGCTTGCTGTCTCTGCTCAGGCCTATCTTGGAGCAAGCAACCCTTAAGATGCATTTTACCTAACTTGAAATCCCTAAAAACAAATTATTTTTAGTCCCACAAGTTCTTTGCAGTTAGAGATGGAGAGGCCCCCTTACTCATCTACCTTTGCGTTGGCCAATGCCTCTGAAGGGGCTTGTATCATCCCACTATGGAGTCAGCCTGGCTGCCGGCTCTTGGCTGGTTGATGTTATGGGTCAATGCCACCCTGGCAGATCAACATACAACAAGTAGGACCACTCTGGCCTCAGGAAGCGCAAACACTGCTATGGTCTACACTGTCATGTAGACTATCAGCCGCCTACACTGATGCCAAAACGATGTGCAAAACCAAACTACATCCCACAGCTAAATGTCCCCTCCCAACTCAGCACTTTTCCTGGCACATTAGGGATGAAGCTTCTTAGGCTCTTTCACCAAAAGCAGCCATCTGTTTTCCACTGGTCTTAGGCACAAACAGCACTTTCTGCTCCAACTGTGGTGAACAATGGTGAGGCTGAAAATCTTCTATCATTTATTACAGCTTTTGTACAGTAAGTGATTAAGACCGATCACTCACAAGCCACCCAAACACATGGGTTTGTTTTCTTTCCTTTTCTCTCTCCTTCTTTATCTCTTTCTCTCTCCCTTCTTTTTCTGCTCTAAGAGCTTTTCTTTTCTTTTTTTTTTTCCTACCCCTTCTAGGACAAAAGAGATATAGTTCAGGTGCTTGTGTCTTCTCAGCCCTGTGTCACTGCTGGCAGAGCAAAGCACTGAAGTAGCAGATGAGTGCAAAGGATCTCTGTAGACCCAGCACAGAAGGCACCGTGACTTCAGATGAGGGTCATTGCCCTTAACTTATGTTGATAACTTACTACTTCTGCAAGGGGAAACCTCTGCCCTTCACTGACAGAGCAGATATCAGCCCTTTGGCTGCAGTTGTCACCTCCATCTAGGGGGCAACAAACACCATGACTTGGGGCTACCTGGTGCCACCGTAAGGGTTTTATCTTCTGCTGCCTACACTTGCCCAGGGGCATGGTGCTGTCTCCCTTCATGGTACCCATGGTAGAGCTACAGGAATCACCCACAGGTTTAGAACTCTGTCCCCTCCAGCCACCCCCTGTCTCTTCACGAATCCTGACAGAGAAACCCAATGCCCACCTGGTGAAACGGACTTCACAGATATTGCACATATACGGCTTCTCTCCCGTGTGGGTCCTCATGTGCCGGGGCAGCTTCCCAGCCCCCATGATGACTTTGTTGCAGATGGGGCACTGCTGCGAGGCCTTGGGCTTCACCTTCCTCTCTTCCTCCAGGGGCCACGGAGGAAAAACTCCTCCAAACTGGGTTGCACTTAGGAAATTGAGATAAGCGCTGTAGTCAGTCTCTGCCTTAATATGCCCTAAGGGAGCTGTTGGGGTGTTGGTAAACATGTCCTTGAAGAAGTCATTAGGGAAAGGAGGAGGAGGAGGCAGGTCTTCCTTCTCCTCCTCTTCCTTGATCTTCCTCTTTTTGATCACCAGATCCAAAGGGCCATTGTCTACTTGTGGCTCTTCGAGCTGGGAAAAGGAGCTAAAGTCACCATTCCAGAGGCGGGGGAAGAAGCTAGGGGGGAAAGGAGAGAGAGCTGACCTCCTTTCTGGGATGTTTGTTTTAGGGTACAAGTTCTCCCTCAGCAAGGACTCAATAGAGAAGTCTCGTATCACACCCAAGTGCCCAGATGAGTTATTGGCTGGATAGTGATTTGGGAAGTCTTTAGGTGCTTCTGTATATGCTTCTTCGGTAAGGTCCGACTTAGAAGGGCTTTGGTGACAGCTTACTTCTTGGACATCAGTTAGGTTGTCCTGATTGACGAAATCCTCCACTTCTTCTTCCTCCTCTTCCTCCTCCTCCTCATCTTCATCTTCATCTTCGTCATCGTCTTCATCCTCTTTGTCATCTTCCTCTTCTGCCTCTCTGTCAGGCTCCATGATTTCAAGGCATACGTTGATAATGCACTGAATCTCCAGCATCTTGGCCGCGCTAAGGATGTGCTTGACATTTGAGGTGGTGATGGTGAGGGTTGAGGTGTAGGCGAACTCGAGGATGGCAGAAAGTGCTTCAGGCTTGACAAAGTCAATCTCGTAAACATAGGGCTGGTCTGTTAAAGTGCTGGTAGTGAACAGTTTTTTGAAGTACTTGCTGCAGGCAGCAAGGACAGACCGATGAGTCCGGTACTCCTGGTCCTGTACAATGAGGATGACATCGCAGAGGAGACCGTCATGTCGCTGCTCGTTTAAACCACATAGGACTTCACTGCTGTGGTTCGGGAATGGGATCCCGATAAGATCTTCAATGCCATTGGCCATATTCTCATTTAGTGCCCTAGGACAAAACACAGACAGCAGGGCATTAGCAGGGGGACTTCCAATCGGTAACGTCTAAATGGATGTGCCTTCTCCTGCAGTATTTTTCTCTCCTTTACATTACTTCTGTCTCTGTAATGACTCTCTGATTCCACTGCCCCAATGCATTAAATCTCCTTGTCACCTTTACCTCCTTCCATGTCCTCTATGATTAACCTCTGTTTTCCTCTACGTCCCTTCAAGTCTCCTTCCTTGTCTCCTTCCTTCTCTCCTCTGCTCTCAGCCTGTCCCTTGCCAGCACCAGCACGTGCTCCCTCCTCACTTCCATACCCTGCCCCCAGGAACCTGGCTCTATGATTTCCTCCCCGTGATGCCTCTTCCACACCCTCCCGGAGCCAACACCATGTAGGCGCTTGCAGAATTTGCCATGTTGGGCGCTCTCTGGGGAAAGGGAGACGTTGCATTGCCTCACATCGCTTGGCACCAGCACCTGCACCACTAAACAGGACCAGCCAGGGAGTGTCCTTGGAGCTGCGCAATTGTTTTGGTGACTGGTACAACCAGACTTCCCAACCTAGGAGGGACACAGCCATTGGCTGCAGCAGGAGAGCGGCCTCACAGGCCAGCAGCCCTCCAGTTCTGTGTCCCCTGCTCCACTCACACCAGGCATCTCCCCAATTAGGACACTTGCACGAGAGTGTCTTGTTGAGGGGTCTCGGAACAGGGGAGACAGAACGGGTGGGCAAACAGAGAAGACAACCAAGCACTCACCCGCTGGGCGAGGGCCTGGCCAGAGCAGACGGCGGCGTGTTGACTCCACCAAGGAGCTGAGCTTGCTCTGGCCCTGATTCCGTTCAGACACATTAACGTGCTATCAAATGCCCCGTGTGCCTGGCAGGCACCTTCCCCTGCCAGCGCCGCGCCGGCTGCAAAGCGGAATTCGGAAACACAAAGCCCACACCCAAAAGGAAAACCTTATTTTTTGCCATTTTTTAATCTGTAAGATGTTTCCTCTTTTAAACAGCTCCAGCAGCTCTTCCACATGAGAAATCCCAGGAAAGGAGAGTGACTTCCTCCAGCAAGCTAGGAATGCATTAGTCCTGTCACATGCAGAATATATCAAGCAGCCTGAATAGCTTGGACTACGTGAGGCCTTTGGAAGCCCCCAGGAAACATGTTAACGCCGTTTCACTTCCAAAAGCCCCACTGCAGATAGCAGCTACTTCACTGCTGAGCAGAAATTCTCCAAAAAAAGCCGGTCTATGCCTAAGGAAGACTCCCTAGCCCTTTCTCAGGGCTCAATGCCATGGTGCGCTGATGTGCAGCTTCCCATCCCACCCTATCTCTGCCTCTCTCCTGGGATCCATCCCCCCTGGCCTGGGAGCTGCTGAGCACCCATCTCCCCAGCAAGTGTTCCCGTGAGAAGGGGCCCTGGCAGCCTCCTCCTGGCTCCGCAGGGTCAGGCAGCAGCCGAGACCTTGCCGTTATCTCCCCTACACCTAATCAGCGCTGCCGAGCGGCTGCCGCGTGGGAGCAGGAGGGCGAAGGCCTTGGGAAAACGGCGCAACGGGAGCAGAGCACGGAGCAGCTGCCCCAGGGGCACCTGCAGACGGGGAGGCTGCTCTGCCAGGGCCCCATTTCAGCAAGCAAATCTGCCAGGTAAGAGTGAGGTCCAGAGGGATAAGTGCAACCCAGGGCAGTGCAACGCGGTGGTTGTGAGCGCTGCTCCTAGGGAGACCTTCACAGCCATCACGGTGCTGCAGGAAGCCCCATCTCAGCCCCAGACACTTAGGACCAGTCACAGCCCAAAGAAGTGAGGATTTAGGGATAATGATGGCCCCCATCACACCTCTGCACCCAGTCTGACCTCCTCCATCCCACCGGCTCACCCCTTTCTGTGCTGCTGCTCTCCGAGATCCCAGGATCTGGCAGGGCTTGGCCGGCCTCCAGCTGAAGGCCACAAGCATGGGCTGATGTGCAGGGACAGCGCAGGAGTATTCGAGCCCCTGGGTGCATGCACTTGCAATGCTGCTCCCGACCAGCCAGCCCAGAAGAGCACAGGCCGTGGACACCCCCACGAGTCCCTCTGTCAGCTCCAGGCACCGAGGCCCCTGTTTTCGTCTCAGGAACAAAGATCCCAGCCCCGCATCCCCTGGCGTGCACATTATCTGCGAAGTAATTACGCCTGTTGTCTGAAACAAATTGGTTCATTACAGTGTGCTGTGCTTAACCATGTTAACTAGCTACGCTGTCCTCACAACCCGACAGGCTCCACCGAAAACCCTCCCTTAAAATCACTGACAAACAACAGCAAAACCAACGTGTTATCCAAGTTGAGTGGAAGATTGTAAAACAGTCCCCGTGCAGGGGAGGAAGAGACAACTTCCTTTCTCTGGCTTTGCATCCTAATAATAAGCATTCAATTCCCTCTGCTGCATTTATTTTTTACCCTTTTGTAATTTTCTTTTGCTTTGATAGAGCGTTAATGTCCAAGCAACGTAGTGTCCATAGGAATTTTGACCTGTTCTTGCCAGATCAGCATACGTGCAAGAGATCAGGAAAGCTGCAGACTACGAGATCGCTCTGAATTCCTCAGGTCTCATTACCGAGGGCTTCATTATTTCTCCTGGACACTCAGCTCAGGTCTTCTTGATTTGTGGATTGTTCACTCAGCAGCCGCAGGAGGGAAAGAAAAATGGAATTAGAAGCGGGGGTGGGAGGCGATTATAAACCCCCCGATTTAGCAGGAAACGGAAAGGGCAGCTGTTGTGCCGAGAATGATGCACAGCTCCCTTCTGTGGAAACAGCCTCATTTTCCTTTATCTTCCCATTCTGGCTCTCCCAAGATGTGCTTCTGTTAACCGGGAAGCTGATAACTTTACAGGATGGTGGCAAAATTGAAGGTGATTCATGTAATTTAAATGTGGTGGGGAAAGAAAAAAAAAAGAAGAAAAAGAGAAGCAAGGGAGGCAATCCATTTGCATAGGTTTGCAGAAAGGGCATTTTTCCCTCGCAGGGTGGTTTGACAGCTCTGCGCCGCCACGCGGGGCCTGGAGCCTGAGGAATGACCTTATGATTCCTGCGTGCGATGCTGATGCTGCCCTTCCTCCACCTGCCCTCCTCACCCTCCGCCTGCGCCAAGCCCAGGGTGGGGGCCTCCAGAATAACCCACGAAAAGCAGCAAAACCAGCGCGAGAAGCGAGCCCAGCGCGGCACAGCGGCTAGACACAGATTCCCCCTCTATAATAGAAAATGACGGCGGTGTTAAAATAACCCCGGGGCGGGGGAAAGGGGGGAGGGCACCTAAAATAGCCACGTTGGCTGCCAGTGGCATGTCCGAGCGCTGCGGGGAGCTGCAGGGAGCATCTCCAAGGAGGGACCTCCGAAGCAGCCCGGACAGGGCCCGTCGGAGCCGCGAGCCCCGGAGCCGGCCCTGGGCTCCGGCGGCTGCCGCTGTTTTTTAGCTGCTGGTTGCTCTGTTCCCCACTTCTCCTTTCAACTTCATGTCCTCGCCGGCACCCGACAGCTTCTGAAAACCAATAAAGATGCCAGCATAAAACAGAAAAAAATGGAGAGGGAAGAAACCCTCATTTAGCATTCTGAGAAGTCAAAAATATAAATCTGCTGAATCCAATGGGATAAATGATATATTAACATTACATAGCATTAGTTGCACTTCTCTGCATTGCGAGTGGGAAGAGGTCATCGCCACAGATGGCTCCAGTGTCCGCCAGCTCCTTGGCCTCCCAGAAGAGCCGGGGTAAGATGGGCTGGAGATGAGCAAGGCCCTGCTTGTTGCCACCAAGACGGCGCCAGAGAGGCCGGCAGGGAGGCACCGGCTCCTCCACCGCGCCAGGCTGCGAACGTGTGCTTTTTGGGGGTTTTTATTGTTATTATTGGGTTTATCTGTGTGTCCTAGCAGTGAGGCAGTTAAGATGTGCATGTGAGATTACCCTCATCCGTGAAGGTGCAGCAGCTCCTTTGCAGGGGATTTGCCGAGCACGGGTTCGTATCTCCGGCCCCTTCCACGTATTGCCGGCTGCGCCCCGGTCTGCTTGTTATTCCGTGGGAATCGGGAATCGGTTCCCGGCTCCGCCGCCGGCAGCCCTGTGACCTCAAGAGAACCTGGTGCTTTCTCCCAAAAAACAGGGCTTGCCCCATGCCCGCCACCATGGATATGCTCATGGGGCAGTGCCAAAGAGAAGAAACATTGCTTTGCAGAGCTGGGCATCCGCAAAAAGCCCCTTCGGAAAGGCAGCTGGAGGGACTTTTTTCCCTTTTAGTTGGAAGAAAAAAAAAATAAAGCAGAATTTAAAAGCCAAAGAGGCAAATATTTCCTTAAGTGCACCTCCCCTCCGAACATCTTGTCTCCCGAGGAACGTGTTATTAAAGCACCCAGCCTAGGACCCGACGTTCCTCCCCTCCGGCAGCAAGGTGGGGCAGGGAGCGCTCCGTGTCTTCCCAGCGCTTCCCGCCGCGCAAGGCCGAGCCGGCGAGGAAAACGCCACCTCCCTCCTCAAGAAATAATCTCATATATATAAAGATACATTTATATTTTTTAAAAGGAGCCAACTGGAGGCTGTGGAAGAGCCAGAGTCCAGCCTTTCCCTTGGGACTGCCCGCGCTTAGGGAGCCGGACACTGAGGAGGGAAAGGTTCTTGCTTGCTAAGGGCTATGCAGAAGCTCATCCGCCTAATGACTGAGGCCAATAAGAAAAACAAAATGAAAAAAATACAGAATTCCTGGATTTTGTGCAGATCCGGACGTGGCAGGCAAGGGCAGCGGTTTCCAAAGCGATGCCTGGGCAGGAAGGATGCCAAGAGCGTCACGTTAACCACATCTATCGCGTGGCTGGCAGGTTGAGCCCATGTCAACCATATATATTTACACATACTGTGCAAGACTGTCTTGTTTTCTGGTCTGGTTGTTTTGTTCCCTATAAGCAGGCACCCGAAGGACGTGTTCACCACCAGGCTCACCAGGCAATCCCAAAACCAAGGTGGAGAAGGCA